TGTAATCTTTGTTTCTGGTAAACTTTGTTTTGAAGGTGAAACACCTAAAGGAATATTGTAATGGGCCAAAGTAGTAGTAGTCTTTTTAGATTAGGCACATGAGTATGTGAAACTGACTTTTTAAAAACAGCATATACAACAGTGATATCTACCAGGTGTTTGAGTATTTTAAGGAGCGTAATGCAGATGTTTGGCTGTGGAATGGATGAAGGCATATAGTGTGTGTAATTTACATTAACACTAATCTAGTCAAAATTAATCTGTAAAATGGATATCATGGCAACAGAAGAACAGAGGTTAGGCTGAAGTCTTTTCTTCTTCACCTTTCTGTAAGATGTAGCTTAGAATCCTGTAACTGAGTTGAAAATGAGTGAAAATTTTAGTAATTTAAGTGACAATCCAAAGTACTTCAGAGCTATGATAGCTTTCAGGATTAATATGAGAAGTGGGTAGTACATTTTAGGTGCATAGCCCTAGTTAACACTGTTTAGCCTGTATTAATTTTTAAATTTTCAAGCAACATTTTATTTTTTTTAAAAAATGTAATTAAATACAAATTGAAACCACTTTCTTTCCTGATGAGATCATGAGCTGCTTCCTTAAGGATGAATCTTTCAGCATTGTTGCCACTATCAAACTGTAGCTATTTATTTTGTAGTTTTATCTGGACATTTTTTTTTAATCTATACATTTTTTTTCAAAAGAGGAAATGATATTTTTTCCTGACTCTCTCATTAACATCATGTTTCAATGAGATGATTATTAGATCTCATTATCGGGTAGTAAGAGCGGAAAAATTTTCCTACAAGTTGCTGTTCCCTCAAATGGTACACATACACGCAATTAAGAGAAACTGGAAGTAATTCCAAGAGTTGTTTTACAGAGGCTGTCACTACTCTTACAGCACTTGGTGTTTCATACTGTTTCTGTTGAATTCACTAAAACTGAGCATATCTGATAAGGGCAGGATTTGGCCCTGTAGGCAGAGATTTGTGGTATTTTGCGTAGTACGATTTGGCTTGTTTGAAGTTAGTATCTCTGTGCTCACATGATTGATTTGTATGTATCTCCATCTTCTGACCATACACCTAGGATTTAATTCCCATTGCATCTATCACATTTCAAAACCCTTTGGGAAGCTCTTCTTCGTGTACAGATTGTTAAAACACGGTAGTTCTAGGAGCACAAAAAATATTTTTATATATCTGTGTTTATATGCATGTGGAATATCTGCTGACCTGGGTTTACAGAACACCTGGAATTATGTCTATGATACAAGAAATCATAACAAAACCTTTTAAAAATAATTAATTACATTACATTAATTACATTAGTCATGTTTCAGTTGTACTGAGGAAGAGTCCTTCTACCCATACCATGTAGGTCTGCTTTCCTCCTCGTCTTCTGATTGAGACTAGAGTAACAGTGAAAGCATCTCTAGCTGTTTTCAGCCTATCAGTTAGTTGCTATATATTACTCAGTTGTCTTGAGACTTTCTGTATTCTGATTTTCACTGCTTGTTGATCTATCTCAGAAAACTGTATTTAGATATAAAAAATAAATCAAGTATTTTTAAAACAAACCAAGTCAATAATTCATATTTCAAAAATTTAAGAGACGCCTTCTAAGTTTTAGTAATTAGATTTACTATAACAGGAATAAAATATTTTTTCCTGTTTTGATAGTAATATGAAATGAACTTACAGAGAACCTAATTTGTATTAAGTATAGGATGTACAGACTCAAGTATGAATGAAATGAGAATGAATACTACCAGAGGAGCTACATGCATATGCAGAAACAGTAATTTAACCTCTAAACAGGGGTCATAAGCAGAGTAAGTGTACCCAATACTTGAGGTTAAATGTGAAAGTGTACGGGGAGAAGACCTCCTGCCTGTGCCCAGTAACATACGTGTGTAAATGGGAGTAAAATGACTATAAGGCTAGCACATACTGGGGGAGGGGCAGGAGTGCTGGGAATAACGTGTTTGTTTTTTTTTTAAAAGTTCCTAATGCTATGCCTGAAACACATGATTAAGGTACTAGACAAGCAACATTAAACCATTTCCAGAGCAGATAATACACTGTGGCATCCCTGGAGTAAATTGGCTAAAAAATTTCCATCAGGCTTTTGAAAGTCTGGAATGAGCTTTAGGCATAGATGATGTCTTTTAGTCATACTGTTAGAGAGCATCCTATAATTAAAAAGGAAAACAAGTAATGAAAGCAATAGAACAAATTAAAAACAAGGCACACTGGTAGATTAGTTGCTCGTTTCTTGAATAAAAAGTGTTTTGGAGGCTGAAACTGCATTTCTATAGATTGAAATAGTTGCATTAATTTGCAGTTGCATTGGCAAGTAGAAAAGTAGTTTTGGAACATGATACTGAAAACAGGTGTTGGCAGGTACAAGAAAACAATTTGCAGAAGAATTGGGGCAGAAGTAACTACGTAGGTGTAGTAGCTGGTGCCATTCAGAATCCAGTGTAGAGCAGGAGATTACCAGTATATGAAAGAGGATTTAACAGAAACTTAACGCGTTGATAGCACTCTGCGGGAATCTCAGTTGGACGAAGGTGCAGCCTTCACGGAGCAGAATGAGTGGTGTTGTAGCTAAGACATTTCTATCTGAAACTGAATATGTATAATGCTAAATAACACTAGAGTTAGTATGTTTAGGATGTTTGAGATAGACCGATACGGATATGTAAATGACAAATCCTTGCCTTGGGTTCTTCCTTTTTTACGTTTGAGCATTGAACAGCTTGGCTAATAAATTCGATCTAGGTTGCTTCCATGGAATAAACCTAACTTGCCTGACTTTGAAGAGGTTGTTTTTACTGAAGGGAATGTGAAAAGGCTTCAGAGGGACAGGTCAGTGGTAAAAACTCAGAGACCTAGTCATTATTTCCAGCTCTGACACTGATGAGTTGTGTGTCGCTTTGGACATGGTGTTTTAACATCTTTAGCCCTTGTCCTGACCTTAGTTAAAAAATGCAATTTTTTTGCAGCAGGGACTCTGTTTTTATCTTCTTTAAAAATGATGCTTAGCATATCAGTCCCCACAGAATTCACTTCTCTAACCAGTACTCTAATTACAGCAATAATAAACATGCTCCAGTTAGCTGGAAGAGCATACTTTGAACCTGTATTCACAAAACTATTTTTATTGCTTAAAACACACTGACCTTGAATTAAAGAAGATAATGCAAATTTACTTTTCAGTATTCATATATTTGAGCCAAACCTACAAGTTCATGCTTAATAATCCTGAAAATGGAAATCTCTGTGCACATATTTGATTTCTATGCATACATTCTGAATGCATGACTTCTCTGCCTCCAAACCAACATTTTGTATTTTGTTGATGTGCATATAATTTAAGATTTGTGTGGAAAAAGAAAAAAAGTAGAAATTGCAAGATGATTCCATTATATTTTTTCTTTAAAAGCTAACGGTACTGTAACTTGCTAAGTAGTTCCTGTGCAACCGAAGTCACATGGAAGCTGAGAAAGAAAAAAGGATGAGAGGGGGTTGCATCTGTGTAAAAACTGGATAAACCCGACTGTTTATGGTTAAAATAAAAACATTAGGTATGAAAGTATGTTAACTTTTCTTAAGCTTGATGTTTCTATTTTAGTGTGTGCCTGCTAGCACGAATGGTCTTGATCAGATTTCTTTGAGGGATGGACTATTAGAGTACATCAGCATTACCGTTTGCCCCTTTTTGATTTTTTTCCAAAGGTAGCGAATGATTTCAGGACCTGTCTGTGTTATTTTTTAGAATTTTTTACTGTCTCAGAGTGATCTAATAGCAAAATCTCTAATGGACAATATGGTGTGGAATCCTGAAACGCTTGTTGGAAGAACAGCCTAGGTAGCCTAGTGTAAAGGCTACCTTTGAGATGTGAATTAGTTATCCAAGTGATGTAATTCGTACGTGGTAGATGCATGTTTATGAAAGCCATCCTACTTTGTTGTAAGTTACTTTAAAAGTTTCCAAGCCAATGCTTGTGAAAATTTGATTTGAATAGAATAAATGCAAGGAGTGGATCAAAGAACATATCATTGAGCCTTTGGGCGAGTAAAAGTTCAAAACCAAAGCAAAAATGTATATTAAAAATGTCTGTTACTGTGTTTTATAACTATTGCGGTTTCAAATCTAGATAGAGTTTTTGTTTTTCAGGTAAAATAATGTATGCAAGGGAAGTTTGAAATTGCACAGCCTGTAAAGAATACTGATATGCCTGTAGGCTTCTTTGAAACTCGTAATGACTTTATTGCTTACATGGTCGAATCTGCTGAGGAGTTCTCGTAGACTTTGGGCAGTTCTGTAGTATTTGAAATAAAGTGTTAACTTCACAATTGTTTAATCTGCACAGAGCTTTAATCTTTAACTACGAGATTTAAATCATGTTACTATGAAAACTAGTATATCTAAATTAGTGCAAACTCTTACTGTAATGGAGTCGTACCCTGCAGTTTTATGAGCAGTAAGTTGAACAAACAGTAAAATGTGAAACTCTAAAATAGGTGTACGTTTTTCATTTTTCAAGAACAAAGTCATTCATACTGTTTACACCAAATAACATTTGGGCAGGGGACTGTCAGTCTTCTGTATTATTATTTTTTTTTTAAATTGAGGATAAGTCTTCTATCGCGGAGTACAAAGTGTTTGTGAATTATAAGGCTTTCTGATTATAAAATAATTGTCTGTTCTGTTATTATACATGCATTTGCTTGCAGAGTTGCACGATTAAATTGCTGTAGATTAGTGAGGTGCTGCTTGTGAATCGAGGTAATACTGCGCCCGTTTGGAATCGGTTTCTGCATTGTCTAGGAGCACTTACGTGGTCAGTGACTTGCGGTGGAACAGCTGGTGAGCAAGTGTTCCTGTGATGATGTAGGCATATTGGACTCATTCTTTTGATTTTTCCAGAGTATTTTGAATTAGTATTGCAACTGTTGATATCCTGTTGTTTGTTTCTGAATTCACAGGTTATCCCACCGAAGGAGTGGAAGCCAAGGAAACATTATGATGATATTGAAGATTTGGTGATTCCTGCTCCAATTCAGCAGATGGTCACTGGCCAGTCGGGGCTGTTCATGCAGTACAACATTCAGAAGAAGCCAATGACAGTGAAGGAGTTCAAGCAGCTGGCCAACAGTGAAAAGTACGTATTTGGGGGTCTTACTTGAGAAGACAAATATTGATTGGTTCCCGTGTTGTGGTTTCTTTGAATTGCGCTAGGCAGCTGGTGATTGTTTCACTTACTCAGTGGAGGATTTCCTGTCTCCTAAGTTGCGGAAGGCTGCCACAATATTAATCTTTTTTGTGTTTCTGTTGTTGAAAGCATCTGGTACCGTGGCAGCAAGAAGGCATCTGAAAAACCTTAGACATGGTGCTTTCTGTTTACCTTTTTTTTTTTTTTTTTTGCAGTTTAACAAATGCTTATGTTGAAAATAACAAAGATGATACAGACTTATGTTGGAGTTTTATTTTGGGTACACTTATTAATGTTTACTTCTTTTTTTTTTGGCCTAGATACTGGAATGGGTTATCGTCATATAATTCTGAAAAAAACCCAATATCTTTTTTTAACTCACCCAGAAGTTTTTGCATGAATCTAAGAGAACTCAACTGCTCCTAGCGAATGTCTGTGTTCTGGTTATGGCAAGATGGATATTGAGGGAGAGAAAATGAGTCTGTGAAAGGCTAGGCACTATACTGAAAAGTTTCAAATTGGTGGGCTTTCCAAGAAGGGGGAAGTGATAGAAGGAATTCTTCCATGTTCCTTTTGGCCAC